GGGGGGTACTAGTGCAGGTGCACTCACAAAACCAAAGAATAGGAGGCTTCGATAACCAGTCAGAAAAGCTGGAGCTAATAAGGGGCGAAAGTGTGGTCATTTTGGCCATGTGCTTGCTGTAATTTCACCAGAAACGACAGGCAAAGGGCTTTGTTAGAGGCGATCTGGGGGTTCGATAAGTAAGAAAGGCGATATTACACGTTCAGAAGGGGCAGTAGAGAGGTGGAGAGAATAGCGGTCATATATCAAGTACGAGACATTTAAGGTTAACTGAATCAAACATTAAGAGTGTAATGTTTTATTGGGATGAAAAGACGGATAATTTGTTTTTTGTTGTTATTTAGCTGTGGAGTTAATCTGTACATTTTAAGACGGTGTATGTGTACGGTTTTATATGTAGTCTATTTATTCAGGTTTGCGAGAATACAGTATATATGTGATATCTATTTGCATGTTATTAAAACGTCAATCGGGAATTTTTTCAACTTATTACTGAATTGTATCCAAATTCCATGATTTGACTGCTTTCCGAAATCCAGTTGATTTCGATATAAATATCGCTGAAATATTTCAATGTCTGCCAAAGAAAAAGTGATTATTTTTGGATTGAGCTACTTCTTGATTCCTGTGCATTCTTGACATTGCTGCCTTGTTTTCCCGCCGGCAAAGTCGGACGTAGAAATAATAGGGCAGGTGTCACACTCCGGGTGGAAATGGGGCCACATGATGAAAAGTTCGCATGCACCGAAGGAAGAAGTAAGCCATATTTTTGCCTATATACGTTTTGTCTCGGGGTCCGTCAAGGGTCCAAAGATTTGTCTTACTGAACAGCACTGTGAATAAAAATATAAAAAAGTTCAAAGAAGCTACGGTTTCAGAAATCATAAACGACTAAGAGAACGCAGACCTCCGCCAAGGCAGCTCAATTAATCAATCAATTAATCTGATCGATTGTAAGTTGGTCCATGTTTCGCATATTTGCGAATTTGATCACAATTCGTCAATAAACTTTTGAGTTGGGCTGCCAACTTGGAGAACAACAAAGGCAAAAACATCTTTGGCGGAGTGAATAACAGCTCGCCAAAGTTTTTAATTCGATAAAGGTGTTATGATTAAGAGAAAGACAGACAAAATCACTGTTAAATTTTCAACCCAACAACAATGTGGTATTTCGGTTATTTAAGCTTGTACATAGAACTGGCATGGATTATGATGTGCATTTTGGGGTGAAAAAAAGAATTCCCAGTAACCACATATATATATATATATATATATATATATATATATATATATATATATATATATATATATATATATATATATATAATGTGTATTAAAAAATGATTTTTCATTGAGCACACAATATGTTTTTTTTTTTTCTTATTTTACTCTTTTGCTGAAGAATATACGCTTACAGAAACGCACCAAATCTTTTCTTGAGCTTTGGACTAGAATTAATACTTTTTCTATCACTTTCAATTTCCCTTCTGTTCCTTTGATTTATTAATTGCCTATGTTTCCTACTGCGATACGATAATTTAATTGACTTACAGAGATTCAGCATTTTCTTGATCGCTAGATTCAGTTTGGGTGTTGCATAAGGGCGCGCTATCCATGAACCGTTTCTGTAGTTACAGTGGAAAATCAAACTCACTGAAAAGGTGAATTTAGCGTGTAAAAAGTAATAAACGCATGCAGCGTGAATGAAAAGTTTCAATACGTGATGGGCGTTGGCAGGGGATGGTTTCTTTCAGAATATAATAAATGGAACATATCACCGTGAGGCGTTCTTCATGCCAAGGTTAACAAACAACTATTGCGTAAAGCACTTATTTCTCATATTTTTTGCGAAGAAAATGCAATGAATGCCTTTGCCCTCAGGTTATGTTGATTTAACAAGGTAGAGGAATTTTTAACGTTTTTTTTATCTGGAATCAAAAACCACAAAACCGCAAAGTCGGTCCATTTTTTCCTGACGTGAGAAGATGTCGGGAACTTGGAATTCAGGCATGCAGTTTTAACTGATCGCCCGTGCAGGTAATTCAGACAAGGGAGCTCACAGACGTATCCCCTCGGGCACTTTGCAAAGCATAAGGTGTTGATGTGAATTGGACTTTAAGGACTCATTCCCAATAAAACTGTAGGTCTACGTAGAACAATCTGACTCCGCGGGACTCTTTCAACACGCCTCCTTTTGTTTCCAAGGCACTCGTATAATCACCAGCTTTTTCTGTATTCTACTCAACGGATGGAAGTAAGCGCTGAGACGTTTTGGCCAAAAGCGGCCAGAGAGCGGCCTAAGCCTCAAAATTAACGTATTAATAGATTCTTTGGAGGAAAGATAACAGATCACTTTTAATGAGTGTGTGTCATCTTATGTAGACTATTTAACTAGAATGTAAACAACGTTCAACTGTTATCACGATTTTTACACGTATTATATCACGTCGATGTGTTCGAAATTGTTGACAAATGTAACGATAGCATATACAATTTTGTGTACACCTGAATTACTGAAAGGCAGTATTTTATACAATCTGCATTAAAGGTCATAATACATCGCTCCCGATTAATTTATGGTTAAAATATACGATTGAAATTGAATACTCCAATATTTACGCACTACTGTATACTTTTGGTTTGACTGTGACAGAAAAGTTTCACGTTTCGGAGTTAACTCTCAGTAAGGCTTGATTGGAACCCGTCTCTCTTTGCAAGACCTGCATTTTCACAGAGTTATGGAATTAGGAACAAAATGCTATATATGTAATATTTACAAAGATCTACGGTACAAATTAAGTTTTTGTTTTAATTTTTTAAACTATAAAAGGCCTAAAAAGCACTTGCGCTTTTTATTGCAAAAAGTGTGAGGTGTAAATTATTTATTGGAAAAATATTGTGGCAATAACACAAAAGTTATACGGGAATAATAAATTCAACAAGTTCAATGGTCCTCAAGAAATAAATGCACAAAATTGTTTACAAGAGGCAGTTCAAAGGAAAGTGATTAGAGTCAGTTATTTATGTGGTAATTCCCTATAACACAGGGTCGGGTCTGGGGACGTTCTCCGAGTGACGACAGGTGTCCCTTCAATATATCCCCGCCAACGTACCCCGAGTTTCGAAAGTTTTTGGTGAAACTTCCCTGTCCTTAGGTACACGCTTGCTGCCGCTCTGGTGGACAGGGAACCTAGCGGCACGTGTCACAAAAGAACCTAAGTCCCAAAATTGATCTGAATTTGAAGTTAAACTTTTGGTCTAGTTTTACTGATGCTAAATAAATTGTGTCTGCTTTATATTACGAAAGGCGTGGATGATTTTTCAGCCTAAAACTTACTTAATTTAAATTGGATACTTTTTAAACTGAAGAAAGTCATATTTTTGGCACAAAACACCAGTTTTCGTGTCAATGTTCTTTTGTGAAGCCGACCTAAGCTTTCTTTTGAATGGGCGTGCACCTGTCTTAACCACAGTCTTTTCTGTGACTGAATGAAAAGCCGTTGTATATGGTGTAAGCTATCCCAGCGAATGCAGATGCAGAGGATTTTAAATGCGTCCCGAATCCCAGGGTGTCTACTAGCGCTGAAAATAAATGCCTCGTCTGTGTGCTGACACTCGGGGTAGCATAACTCTGCCTCGCAGTTCAAACTCCTAACGCAGCGTCTCTGCCCTGGCATAAAGAGTTATGACGACGGTGTGGTCTGGCCCGTAAACTCCCATGGGAAATAAAGAGCACAACAGCCACCAACAGATCAACAACAGGGAGAAGAATGCCTGGTCGGAGGACGTGCGACGCGGGTTGGTTATTTTTGATGAAAGTGCCGCAACTGTTACCCTGCTCGATCGAAGGCTGAGAGGAGCTCGTGCCTCATATATTGTTGTTGTGATTAGTCTGGAATTGAGACACATTATTTGTTACGTGGAACCGCTGAAATTCTTTGGCGTAATGCACCTGAGTGACCAACTCCAGACGCTTAAGGTGTTCATTCTTGCCAAGTGTGACCGTGTCTAATGCGCATACCTGCTCCTTGCTCGCACGCAAACGCACACGCACGCTCACTGTTATATAACACACACACGCGCGCGCGCACCTGTTTGCACAAGAAGCTATACAAAAATGGACGATTGCATTCTTTTTAGGAAATATGCAGAAGTTTGACTGTTAATTATGCACAATAAAATACAGATTTATTTCCGTTTTGATGCATCTGCCACACCCAAAGATTTATTCTATTCTTCTTTCAATTTTTGATTTCAAGATTCATAAGGAGATTTTTTGGTATCCATATAAACTGCATTAAATGACTGATATTCATTATGTGACTTTATTATGTTATTTTGTTTTACGAAACGTTAATGTTTCATAAGCCGGGAAAAAAAGGAAATTCGATAAAATTTTGTCCCACATTTACTTTCTATCCTTTGCCTTTCTAAGTATAACATACTTTACAGAAATTTATACATTTGTAACATGTTGTGTCTTAATAATTGAAAGGGAAGTTTGAAAATGTTGTTAATTAAATCTTTTTACATATTTTTTAACCTTTTTAATAGAGCCTTTTGTTACAGTCCCGTAGCCAGCAATTTCAAAAGGGGGGTTCTTTTTCTGAAAAAGTGGACCTTTTTCCATAAAAACTTCATGTACCTAGATCAAATTTTACCCAGAGTGGACCTTTTTCCCAGCAAAAGGGGTGGTTCTTTCGAACCCCCCTGCGTACGGGCCTGTGTTAGTTAGTATTTCTTTCGAATCTGTTAGTGGTGTTGCTTGAAAGCCATGGCCAGTGACCCGATAACAAATTAAAGGCACTACAAGAAAACATGGCAGAGTTCAAAGTCTTTGGAATTTCAACTCTTTTCAGAATCACACCTCAAGTTGAAGGCCGACAATTTATGTTCAAACGTGTGTCTTTTTATTCGTCCATAGAGGTTATTCGCCCTGCACGCCGGCTAACCCACTCAGCGTAGCTGTCCTATAAATAGACTTGGACAATTTCTGTGCTGACACAGGCATCTAGACTTGCTTTTTGACAAAGGAGCACTAGTTCTCCCATACCCTCAATCTTTGGCGCACCAGCAAGGATTAAGACGTACTCTATAAATTATTGGGAATACCAGCGAAAACCGTTGGTCGTTTTAAGTGTACCTTTTACACTCTGCACTATGTCCGCTAGTGTTCTGTATTACACAATTATTGCATCGCATACTTGAATTTTGTATAGTATTTTAGATGCCCCTAACCTCAGAGGGTAACTCTATATCATATTCACCATCCCCTAACAAAAGTATAAATAAATCATTTCATAGAAAATTTTATTGTCATAAACATTAATGCAGCAATAACAACATACAAAATCCCTAAAAAGTGCATTTATTGGGACACAGGGTAATTTCACAAAATGCCCATGTTACCCCTAGTCTTGTTTTTTGCACCTATTTGGTACTTGAATAGCTGAGGAAATCTTGATTTGTTCATTTGTAATAAGAAACATTCAAAATTAGATTAACATATTCTAAAGACGACAAATTTGTGCAAATTTGTAAGCGGATAAAAAGGCAAAATCACACCATTTAAAGCGAAGGCAAAAATACATGTAGTCTCCCACGTAGTCTTCAAATGAAATATTTTATACCATAATTTTATCACTGTCAATTTAGGATTTTCGCTCTGTCAGATGATATAAAACAATTCCATTAAAATGTAATTTATGAAGACATTATATACGATACTTTGACAGATAGCAGTGATATTTTCCTATCAATCGACACAATTGTCATTAAAGCGGAAATAATGTAGGCGACTTTATATTAGACTGCTATATATAGGAGTTCCTGCTTTCTTAGCAAGTTCTCGTGTTTCTCGGTTATTGTTAAGTAATAATAACACGACATAATGTCATCAGGTAGGCTGCCTTGACTAACTTATTATCTAACTTTGGGATCAAGATCGCCAAGTTCCCGAGGAAGTTCGATAACTCTCTTCAGCCATGGCATTTGGGTCTAATTCAAGGACATTGAGTCGCTCCCTCTCCCGATCATCAGCTGAACAGGTGAGATGAGGTGAGATTTTTCCTTTCGATTTATCAGATAACCAGTGTGGAATTTTTTAACCACAAAAAAAAAGTTGATAAAGCAGAATGAAGGATGGTAGAAGTGTATATGTTACTAACCAGCAGAGGTAATCCTGATTAACTTGACCACAGTGGGTACACAGAGGATGGAATGTAGGAAATCAATAAGCGTGTTCCCATAAAACCGACCCCAATTCATGAACCGGTGCGTCATTTCATGTAGACGTAATGAGAAAATGAGCACCGTTTTTCAGGGGAAAGTCTGCATGTCAGCTTTATTAAGCTAGTTAAAGCTAATGCCCAAGGCTCAATCAAGTGCGCCTTATATCTTCTTTATATTTAGTACTACATTACTCGAAAATAGTATATGTAACGATAAAGTGCAAATGTTATCGCATACACTGACAAGCAAAGGACTAACAGTTGCTTTTCCACAGCGAGAGTACGTTCAAAACTTGGGCTAAAAGGCTTACAAACTCGCACAGGTGATGGACATAAAAAAAATTTTATGGTTTACATTTAATATAACCATTGAAATAAAAGACATGGCAGTGGGTTGTGACAAACGCTTGGGGCAGTTGTGGAAGGCGTCCAGGTTATTTGCACCGTCTTGGGTACTCAACTAGACGCCGAAGAAAAAGTGAGACTACTGCTGTACCGAAAAGGTGTTAAAACTTTATAAATCTCTGCTCTTCGGAAATCCCCCTCCCTCCCGCCTCCCCCGTACCATTCTTCATTAAAAGTATAACAGTACAAGCATAAAGAGTCAAAACCATGCGGCAAGAAAAAAATCCTTTTGTCCCCTTCTCCTCCCCCCCCCTTCCCGACTACCTCCCCATTAGCAAAAATCCCGAATCTGCCAGTAATATCTGGCATTAATTCATTAACTTAGGTGTGGATGGCCAAGCACAGCTAGCAACGGGATGCGGTGCTGGAAAACGCGAATAACTGTCAAACATGGAATGTGTCCCGCACGTGCCTCTCTTACTCTCAGCGGTTATTTATAGACTTTAAAAACACGAGTTATTTGTGATGCCCACACTGGTTTAATAGTCCGATGTGGTGGGGCAAATATGTCTTTTTTCACTTCAAAAGAAATTTCCGATATAAATTTGCTTAATTGTTGTTTATTGAATAATAAGTCTTGCAAGGAATCAACAAAAGGAGCTTTCCTTATAAGAACGATCAAAATGGGTAGTGCTTGTTAAGTCATGCAAACCTAGTAAGATGTTTAATTGAAAAATAAAAGAAAAATAGTTAAAGAAAAAGAGCATGGATTTACATTCCATTCCATTCTAAGCGAATTAAGTTCCACTGCCAACATTTTAATTGTTTCGTACTTCCTGAAAACAACGGACTAGTACCAATTTGGCCTATATAATGCAACTCGGAAGCCATTATGAAATACTTCCAGTTTTTCGTCCACGAGCACTTTCTTCATCAAAGAGGACTTTTTTGTATTGGGCATTTAACAGTCTTTACATTACACGCTTTAAGTGACGCCGTATTGTGTGCGCTTACTACCTAACTCTCGAAGACCGTCTGCAGAAGGACACTTTTAAATCCCCTCCCTTGACACCTGAAGCTTCTCGTATTATCACTTTCTCCCGCCCATCGATCCACGTGATTGAGAGTAACATCCCCCTTCCCCCTCCCCCTGACAGCAAGGATTCCTGTCCCCATCATTTCACACTGTCCTTCGATCCCCATGATTGAGAGTAAACCCCACCACGTCCCCACCCCGAACAAATTAGATTCCTGTTGTATTACTTTAACGTAATCATTATTTGCTGTCTGCGATACCATAAATTAAGAGAATAACTTTATTTTGAATCTTTGACTACAACACTGACACAAGGAACACAATTTTATGTTTCTTGAAAAAATAATTATTACAGATCAAATTTTGTACATATATACATTTCTAATCTATATGTTACAAATGAGTACGACATTTTCTTTTCTGTTATACAATGTGAAAAGAAATGTATTTGTTGCATTGACAAATAAATATAACGCAGTACAAAGTAAGTTCAGATGGCACTTCATGTCCCTTTGATTATGCCACAACATACTTAAGAGAAAGGGCCAATTGAATATTTGTCAAAAATATTTTACAATAATACCTTAGCAATGATCTGGAGAGAACTTTTATGCTTCTTTCCTTTTTCATTATCTCATTTTGCAACAGGATCACCTAGACTCTACCTGAACTGTTTATTTTTTAATCACAAACGGTAAACAGCTTTTACAGCAAATATAATATTATACAGACATAGAATACTGATTGTACAACAAAATGTCTCACAATATTGGCAGTTCTGGATGACAAAACGTCAATTCATAACAACACCTATCACATTTGCTCTTGGTCCTAGTGGATATACGTGTGTGTCGACGATCATTTCATACTTTAAAACCGTCATAGTGTTATATATTTACCTCTAGGTTTTAAAAACTGCCCGAATGACGTCAAATCGTGATGTCATGTCATGCACTGATGTTCAAATAATGACGCATCTTTTCATATTAGACATAATACGTCACATTTCATAAAAGTGATACCATCATATATGTAGTCTTAGTCAAATTGCACTCTTCTCTTGTGGAAATAAAAACGTTATTTCTCACATAAGTGGCTTTTTATCAATACATATTATTTCTCACGTAAGTGGCTTTTTATCAATACATATTGATTTCAGCAGCCGATAATGCTGTCTTTTTTGCCACAAAGCTCTTTGGTTTTTTCTTGGTCTCCATACGCAGCCGGCACTGTAGGGGTTACAATAAGGTCAACAACTTTATAATGACGACAGTAATTCAATAATGACGTCAGCAACTCAATATTGACGTCAGCAACTGAATGATTGAACATCTTCAACTTGGCCACGTCCGTTTCTTTAGTACACCTTTCCTACCAGTCCATAGAATTATTTACCTTTATAAAGAGGCATTCACAACCCGTTTTGAAAATCTCGGCGTGGCGCACAGCCGGTATCGGGGAGGCGTAAGGGTCAGCCCTTGCTTCCCCTTAACAGGAGGAAGCTCTTCACCCTCGGGAGGAGTAAACGTGAAATTTCTGAGGATGGTGGAGAAGAAAACGAACAGCTCAGTTTTTACGAAGGCCTCCCCGATGCATGAACGTCTACCTAGAAGGAATTGAATGTAAAAATGTATTTAGATGAGGTAAAACTTGGGAAATATGCTGTTGCATGCGTGCAGTAGTAAAGGTTTGATACCAATGAGACTAGTTAATTAGCCGAAATTCAAATTCTTGGAATCAACAGTGGCAGCAGTTAAGGTCCATTACAATGCTTACCGGTTGTTTCCACAAATCTAAATAAGAGATTTTAAATCTAAAATACATTTCTAAAGTACAACAATTACCAAATTTACTATTCAATATTTTTATTTTAATTCACTTTTCAGTACTATCTGCTTCTGAGCGATAATAAAACAAATAGAACTTACCCACTGAGAACGGAATAAAAGCATCTGGTTTATTCCGTAAAAGGCCTCCATTTTCATCTAGGAATCTCTCAGGCCTGAACTCCTCCGGCTCCGGCCAATACTTTTCGTTCATCATCACAGACCACAGGTTGGCAATCACCATCGTATTTTTGGGGATTGTGTACCCGTTAAAACTGACGTCTTCTGTGGTAGCTCGTGGCAGACCAAGAGGGACGATTGTGCTGCGCCTGTTGATCTCCATCAGCGTGGCTTGAGTGTACGGGGAGTGCCGCCGGTGGTAGTAACTGGTCGCAGTGACATCATCTTCCAGAAGCGAGTCCAGTTCGTCCTGCACTCGGCTTTGAACATCCGGGCAGTGCAGCATGAAGAACAGAGCCCAGCGCAGAGAGGTGGCCGTGGTTTCGTAGCCCGCACACAGCAAGTCGAACACCATGATGGTCAATTGTTCGTCGGAGAATTCCGGATCGCCCTCGTGCCGCGACTTCTCGTGCATCATGGCGTCGAGGAAACCACGCGTGACGGCAGGATCGTAGGTGTCTTTCGACTGCTGAATCCAGGTCTGAATTGTGTTCTTGATAACGGCTCTGTTGTACGCCAACTCCTTGTTCACCGGAAGCCAGGGTATTTGGAGAAATGGGAGGAAATTCTGCGCGGCGGCCGCGGCGGCAAGCACGGCGTTGCGGTTCACGCAGCGGAGGAGCTCTTTGAACAGCTTGTCATCCTGGTCGAACCGTTTCTGGAACACCATCATGAAAATGACGTTGGCTACGGCGAGATTGACCATCTCGGTGACTTCGAAGGGTTCTCCCGCGGCAGCGTGTTGACCAATGGCCTGCACCAGGATCTCAACCTCGCTCTGCATCATTTCCTCCAACTTTGGTTGGCCAATGCCCATCTCTCTTAGCAGCTGGAGCGCGAAGCGGCGCCGAGCGGAGAAGCCGTGGCCGTGGTCGCTGGACAAGATACCTGAAACGATAATATAAATCTAGGGTTTAATTATCAAAATTTGTTTTAGAAACTGACATTTAGAACAAAGAAATAGTCCATGCATATTTTTATTACAATAGCGATTGACGCCAATTTTATCGCACTGAGCCAAGATTAATCTATATTTATTATTGGTATTATAGGATTGTTAAATGTTTTCATCTTATATCTTATCCTAACTAAGCCATGCTCTGTCAGGGAATTAAAAAAAGAACAAATGTAAACGTTTTACTGGAGTGGCCAGGTGTCATAGAATGAAATAAAATAGAGAATAATATGGACGTAGGTTTAACAATCCCCATAAACTTTATACAGAAAACCTACATGTACTTCTTCCTAAGATAAATCCGTAAAAGTCCACTACAATATAACAACTATCGATCTTAGATAATAGCCATTTCTTAATTGTTGTACAGCAGACTCAATATTTTCATGCTACTTCTAATTAATCTTTGGTCATCGAAGGCTAAATTAGTCGGTCTTTACTTTGGCCCCTGGATATCATTATGGCAAAGCCAGGGATCTATGGCTGTATTTTCCGTGTCAGTGTTCATAATGTGTTCACTCATTGCAGTGGGCCATCGAGGGTTGGTGTGTTGTACAAACCGCTTCACCAGTCAAAACATCTCTGATAATCAACAAACTAAACATAATATACGTAAGAAGTGGAGCAACTTTCTGATGCAGCTTTGAGCACGAACAATGTAATGTAGAACTAATATGCGTAACACCAGAGGGCCTTCCGTATATGTCCAGCTTGGACTTCTGACGTATTCAACAATATCTTTGAAAATAACTAATGGCAGTGCTTACTAGGATGATCCAGCCATCAAACGCGAGTTAATCATCACAACTTTGTTTACGGCAAGAGAGCAGAGAGGGGGGAGAGGGAGAAGGGAGGGAGGATCCCCTGAATTTTATCTACTTTTAATTTAAAAACATGTGCTCGCAGATAGTATGGAGCTGCAACTTGTTCTCCCGTTTCTTCCCCCTAGGCCCAGGGACTTCAAGCATATTTTAAAATACGTCCGGGACTTGCCCTTGCGCTAAAGACCCCGCCTGCTCCAGGCGTGGCTTTATACAACACACCCTCGACTCATTGGATGCAAACACCACCCAGTGAGTACGAATGCACCCAACCAAAAGATTTGCGGTGCGCTTAAAAGAAGGGGCTCTGGAATTCGGTCAAATGCCTCTTTTCTGAAGAGCGTTCTTTGTTTGCAGGATTAAAAAGCAACACGGGATGAGGGAAAACAAATAACCCCGCTCGCCGTTCAAAGCAAAAGCGCCGCTCGATGCAAACCAGTGCGCAGTGCCCTGGTACAACATCAGCTAGGAAGCAGACGGCGGCCAGGACCGGGGTTCCTTATTAGAGCAGGAGAGAACTGAAAAAAAAGCCACGCAGGGGGTTGTTTATTTCTACACCAGAAGTCTGGTCGGGTCGACATCGCGGTAAAGCTATGTCAAAATTTCTATTTTAGGCCCAAGGTTACCCTATGTCGTTCACCATGAGCTGCCAAATGAGTGTTACAAACCGTACGAAGTTTACAAGATGGAAATAAAATGATCTGTAACATTGGTCGGTATGTAGGCTACAATACTGAAGTGCTGGCAGACTGTTTATTTTCGTCCCTAGATCTAGAGCATTAAATAATGGAGCTACATCTGTATATTTATATATTTATATAAATTTAAAAAAGAGAAGATTGAAGCGCACAGCTCAAAGCATTTTATTGTAGACAAAGTCTATCAGACCTCACCTTCTTTCCAGGATAATAGGATTTCAGGTGAAAAGTCGACGCCGAGACAAGCTAAAAATATTTTTAAGAAAAAGAAACAGCGCAGGGGGAAATTAATGCGAAGTCGTGATGGCAGAAATGAGGCCCACTCTACCATTCAGGTGACATTCTCCAGACACCTGGATTGCGGACAGTTCAAATGGCATCCAAAGATCCCTACGGAAAAGTTAACAAGAAATGAGGATTTGTGCTTTTTTTTAAGTCTGATAGAACATCACATACTGCGACGTCTGTGCTAAGTATGCAACTTGATACATTTACCTGGCTAAAACATCCGTAACCAGTCTTTTATATAATTTTAAATTCAATCTTTTTATACACGTATAATACATAATTTGTGATCAATTTTAGAGTAAAACAACTAAGATGTTTTCGTTCATTTTGGGTCAATAAAATAATAAACTGTTTCTCTGTTTGATACACATTTCCCTTTAGATCAATTCATTGACTAATTAATTAATTAATTTCATTTTATTTATTTTTTTATTTATATATTTACTTTTTTTCATGTATCAGGCATTGGGTATAGCAGTCCTTATGTTAGGGCGGAAGGCCGACTCCCTTGTAAGGACGAGCACGTACCGAACAATTGCACCTGTAGCTCAAAATAAAAGACGCGACTGTACCTAACTTTTGCTTTATTAGTTTACGTACACTGGTAATAATTTACGTGCTGTACGCAATTTTGGTCTTGCGTGGCGTGTGAGCAGCAAAAGGTTTGTCCATACTACCTCCTTGACTCTTGAAGGTTTATCAAAAAACAGAATGATTATCAGTAAATTTAGGCATAAATTGTGCCGATGCAGAGGGGGAAAAGATATTTCAAGGTGTACGTGGTTTATAAATATTCCATGCAGGCTAAATTTGGTACTATGGGCACCTTAATCAGCCCCCAAAAACGTCAAAAACACAAAAATAGCGGGTTGTTTAGAGCTAAGTACTCGGTGAATCAGAACGATCCACAAATATATCGGTCCCGTTTCCTTTGGGGTGGAAGACCTCTTTGCCTCGCTGCAGTTGAGCGTGCAAGTCAGGGGACGGGCAGCCTGTGAATTAAACATAAAAGAACGCCGAAATTCTTGCTTTATTTTTTCAAAATAAAGAAAACCCCAAAGTGCGCCGTCATGAAAGGGCACGGGGCTTGAACTCGCTGACATTTTAACCTAAGCAAATGACGTGTGGCTTTCGCGGAAGGCGAGAGAAAGTAATTAAAAAAAGTTTTAATTGTTAAGGTAACAAAAGCAACACGGCTAGGGGGGGTTAGAAAGTAGATACCACCTCGTTTCTTGCGGACTTCTCACGGTCTGGTGTTTGTTGATATTACCGGCAAAGCAAGGTGCCTGCATTGCAATCGTTCTTATTTATAGATAAATAGACGCTAAATTTAGTGTGTACTCCAGAAGCGCATGGCTAGTTCTTTCGTTTTCACATAAGTAGGTTACAGCGGGTGGTCTCCTCGAAACCGCAATATGGGGACTTCGCACTCACCTGAGACGAAACGTTTAAAAGGGGAAAAAAGGTTTCGCGGTTTTTTTCTGGACCGGCAACCGTTCCGTGTCGCTGGCGGCCTATACGGTTGCAGCAGACGCCGACAGCGTCCACAAATCAGAGGACCCATTTTCAGACAGTTTTGTGAAATTTTTCAATCTTTGAGAGATTTCTTTTTCTAGCTCAGCGTCAAAAAATATGATCCTTATAAACCAGGACGGTGCACCGATTTGCTAATAAAGTATACACCATGAAGCGATCTGCAGATAAAAAAAATAAAAGACACACACGAGGCAAAACGATACAAAACGGCGACAAGACAGACTTCGGCAAAAAAAAAAAAGAAAAAAAAAAAAGAAAACGGGATTTTTATAATAGTTTCTTTAGCAAAACCGATGATTCAATTCTCCGACATTCAATAGCATCCAAGCGCTGCTAAGCGTGTTCGTAACCCTTTCACACTTATAAACGAAACACTTTGCGATATCTGTGGTATCAATTTGAAGCAGTTTTTACCTTCAACCCATTAGCTCTCCAGCTTATCATTTCCTACAGTTAAACATAAATTCATGGAAAACAACGTCATCGGGATTAGAGGACAAATCACCGCTTACCGGGTTACTAGCTAAACGAAAAAGTGTGCAAAATGAATAAACGTTTGCTTCATCGATACTTATCGAGACAACAGTGGCGTGATGAGAATCAACTTAGCAAGATTTAAAAGCATTTATGTATATGTGAAAATAATTGCGCAAGATTTGCATATGCCTGTGTCTTAGCCAGGGCACACTATAAGAATGATACAAATGCATTGCCCGATAATTATCAAAGGTGGTGCGTTAACTAGTTTTACCAGATGGACTAATTGTGTATACTATTTAAGAGGTCCCTGATATCAAAGGGTAAATACAGGGTTGGTAAAAATTAAAAAGATGTTAGCTCAATGAAGCTTGTTTTATCATGGGATGATGAAAAGGTCACGGAACTGGGCACCTGGAATGCGCTATAGGGTCACTGGTCCGCGTGCGTGGGGGCAGAGTGTTTTCAGTTACGCCAGGGAGTCATAAAACTGGGTCCGCGTGGACCACGCCCGTGCTACCGTGATACCGTGTCAAGAATCAGGACCGCAAGTGACCGCTGACTCCGCAAATGGTCTTAATGCTGGCCAGCGCGTCTCATGTTACACCCATTAGTTCACCTGAGCGCGTGCGGCACCCCTCATTAGCAGGCAGTGAGGCCAACCAGTCGAGTCACAGAACAAGTTCACGAGAGTTTTAGTTTACTACAAATAAACCATTTCTAAAATTAGTTGCATTATGTCTGCGGTCAAATAGTGGGCTACTACTTGGTCTTTGAGCCTAATTCAAAGCGGGGGGAAACTACTGAAACGTGAAAATGTTTTCGTCTTTCGGGCTTTCATTAAAGTAACCGCATTAATGCTATGATGAGAGGGTCCTTGATTTCCTGGTTTGGTTTCGATAAACTGCTTTTTCAAGACAACATGTTTATATTATTTTTGTGGTCTGTCCAGAAATTCATTAAAACAAGGCTATTTACGGTTCAACCCGTTTCGTTACACAGCCTCAATTACATATCCACCCACTCTTTGCACTGCCCTGTCCCTATTAATTGTTGTTTGTGGTAACGTGTGTAATAAATAGCAGCGAGAGTGCGTAAATACTACGGTAGCCTAACATTTCCATTGTGTATAACACAGATAACAGTTCACCGCTTGGTCATCTTAATATATACGTTTGGATGTTAAGTAAACCCAGGGGCAGATATCATAAACTATCAAAAATTATTCCTAAAATTCTATTTTACTTTTAATATATTCCCATCAACTGTTTTCAACGTTAAGCTACAGTAAAGCAGCGTAATTGAATCTGAGAGCTACATGTCTTAAAGGGTACAGGTATCCGCAGTATTGGCGGGCGCTCTGCGGTGTCAAATGAAATCCACAGGATCATGATGACGGCGTATTAAGTAGGGCAATTTGTGGTCAACCGCGTTAACGTGTAAATATCGCCCAAAGTGCAACCGTGCGGCCACCCGGCATAAAGGCGCACTGATTAATCCACAATTCGGCCCACGCGATTGGCAGCAGATAGCAACAGCGAGTACGCACGCACTACGGGGAGAGTTTAAATTAATGGTCCTATTTGCGCGGAATTTATTTATTTATTGTTTACTGTCGAGAAACAAGGTGCTTTTCATTCACTCGCGTGTGTATTTTTCATCAGAACAACGTGAGTAACCACACATCAAAGGCAATTCATTAAATGAAACGCGATGAAGGCAACCTTGAGTCAGTTCGTAATCAGATGTCTGTTTCAATGACTGCCCCCACCACCCACGCCTTGACCCTCCCAATGCTTTATCCCAGCATCACACAGTTCTTTTTTATCACTATATCTATGGGAGGAGAGAGACCACAGTCATTATTGACCTTAGATCACAGACATTGATCACAAAACTTGAGGGTGTCCCCGCCGTGGAACCCCCCGGTGTGCGGACGGCCGCGAGATGCAAACAACCTTCCACCTGGCGTTCCGCGGCCGTCGGCGCTGCTGGACTCGCGCCTGGCCAGCGGTGATGTAACGTGCGTTGGTATACCTGGTTTAATAGCCAGGCCAAAAAAAGTTTGATACCTTAGGGCGCCGCTGCGAGCTTAAATACGCCCAGGTACTGCAACCCCGGGAAATGCACCACACATATGACAGAGGCACTCCTTTGATATGCAGTGCTCAACGTTTTCAGAACACCTGAGGGTAAACTACACCGGATTCTCAATAACGAAATCGACAAAAAAAAATTGCAGATCGACAATATGCCACCAAGCGAGCAACAGTTTTAGCTGAGAAATAAACAGTTCAAGTTGAAGAGCGTTTAGGCAGCGAATTGATGGAGTTGACTGCTGTCAGAGGACAGAGTGTCACAAGAAATCGAATCTAACCTGTTACCTCTACGCCACACAAACACAAGTGCACTTACAAGAGCTCTCAGCTTAGCTGTCACTACTTATACAAATACTCAATGACAATCCGCACACCAACTCAAGGCCATTTAATTGTCGTTAGTATTAACGTATTCCATGGGGACACTGTTATGACTATAGAAGGGGGCATGTCAACATGGCCAGTCTATCCTCCTCGATGTACTTAACGTGATTATACCACTATTACTTCATCTGATACATGGTAAACACCTGCATTAACCTACTGTAAGGATCACGATAACGTTTAGTACTTGAGTACTCACCCTTTCGCTTTAACAGCGCCTTCAAACTGGGCAGATCGGGGCGTCCGGCAAACTGGGCACTCTTCTTCAAAAACGCTTCTTTGATAGTCTCCAGCTCGTTGAGCACGATCACTTTGCGCGATCCGAAGTTCACGGTGAAGATGTTCCCATATTTCTTTGCCCAGTTCATCAGCACGAGGTGGGAGTCCTTGGCAAGCCAAGGGAGACTCCCCACGATGGGGAGACCGCGGGGCCCCGGAGGCAGACGCGACACCCTGCGAATGAGGAACCAAGACTCGATGACAGCAAGCGTCAGCAGCACTGCGTGGATCAAGCTCTGGACGCTCACTCCGTCGATGAGGACCTTATACATGGACAGCAACAACGTAGCCATTCTTTTTGATGCTAGTTCGCTATTACTTGTTACAATTAAGTTAGGTTTTGAAGCGCGTCTCTAGACGACAGCGTTCCCTAAGAACTTTCAGCGAGTTCTGAGCGCTGCATCGAAGAGCTGCTGCTTTTGAAAGGCCCGGCCGGCTTCTCGTCCGCGTGAGCTCCGACATCATCTTAAAGTGTTACAACGCTGCGGGCGGAGCACCTGATGACGTAGCATAATGAGGTCACAAATAACCTCCTTTACGGTGAGCTATAGGGATGGGGATGCAGGCCTCGGACAACATAAACAACTTCACCTTACTATGCAGTGATTTAATAGTATATTTATCTTTTTTATTTCTTTTATTCAAAGTTTGTTTATGAGTTCAACTCAACACCTCCACTAACATGCACTTGTCCCAGATATTATGATAACTTAACCGCCTCCTCGGAAAGCGACCTCCCTGTAAGCTTGGTGAGCGGTTGCGAAATCGGACCCCGGTTTTTCAGGTTGAGAGACCCTGATTGACCCGCATAATTGCCTTCGTTTCCTTAAGTGGTTATTAAAACAATCGCTAATATGTGAAGTGAATGATATCGATAAAAACCTTGAAAGAACGAGCTGGCCTGGGACCGATGAGATCGATGGAAGCACGACAACCAGGGGCGGATCCCAGCTTCCCGGGGTCTGGAATCCCCGTGGAATCTACAGTGCATCGATCCCTAACGGGTTCCATTCAGGGTGAGTTTGAGAGGTTACGGCATTAGAGACGCGTGCTCCCTGTCACTTATTAAGAAGAGACAAACCAAAGAGCAATTTATAGGTACAAAAGGACAACGTCGCGATGTCACTTATCTGTATATTTTTGAACAGTCTTAAAGATAAGCGTATAATGACCCGTTTTGCATGATTTCAGTGCAAACCACTTTGTTTTCTTATCTGAAAATTATCATTAATCAATATGACAAATCAATATAATAAATCAATAAAAAAAAAGAATCGGGTGCAGGTGTTTTTAAATCAACTGCATTAGAGTACTTCAAAGAAGTTTATGAATTTACCATAGTGCATAGTGCACCTATTTCAGATACATTCCTGTATTCGATTTTTATTGAATTATTTCGGTTGTTTGAATGGAACGGAATGATCTTGGGGACATTACTGGTTAACAGAATAAAATAAGGAAAGAATGGTCGCGGTTATGAACAGATCTAGATCTGTCTAAAAAGGTTTCGATTCTTTTTTCTTTGCGTCTCTCTCTCTCTCTCTCTCTCTCTCTCTTGTTTTAGATCAGCCTTGAGATGTCAATCTTATGCGCACTACTGTAAAAAGAACGATTTAATTGAGGGCTTCTGAGAGTGTCTATTTGTTGTTGTTGTTTGTTTGTTTGTTTGTTTGAAGGTATGATTAACACAACGCATCTAAATATGTTATCCAGAACAACATTACCTAGATACAGAAGGACTGGAAACTCGGTTTTCCCTCTATCCTTGACATGCCATTAATTCCTATAATAATCTTGGTGATTATCAGCATATTATTAAAGGGCACTTTTGTTTTTCTAAGAACCAAGTATTTGCGTTTTGTTTCGTTTTGTCTTTCGTCTTATTTCGGGGTGAAAATAGCATATTTGTAGTACTTAAACGCCGTAGATTGTGTCTATCCGGTTTCAGATCTAGGTTTGATAGCGAGGTCTTGAGCACTTGACACGAAATCGATACCACTTTATTGTCAAACCTTGGAAATAATTGTGTAAGCTGCTCGCTTTCCTAGGACGCAGATTAAAACGCGATAATCCCTGGGAATAACTGACCTCAATTTGTGAGATTTAAAGGGTTGTCAAGCTAGAGCTGCAAGAATATTTTTTGGCGAACATGTACATTGAAAAAGAAATTTTTCGCTATCTCACTGCCCATCACTTTGTCAAAATCCAGAAAATTAACATGGAATTCTGGTTAGTAGAAAAGAATGTGCATTCATTACATTTTCTTCTTTCAACAAATACAGGTGTTTATATAAATAAGTTACTTGTTTTTAACACAAATATAGGCTTTTTTAGCATTTTTAAAGAGAAAATGCGTAGGTTAAAGACAAAAAAGACTCTTCACAGTTGCTTATTTATATTGAATAACCAAACAAACATCAATGCATGGCAGTTTGAGGCCTGGACTTTTATCTATAAACGTCTCAAATTCTGTTCACGACATGGTTCACGTTGACATGACTACTATCTTTTCTCCTTTTCAGACTCGTATAAACTTTATTTCTTGATATGCACGATAACAACACTTTTGTTTTTTTTTTTATCAACAATTTCATACATAAGGCATAAGTTGGCAGTAAACTGTTCTAAAACCACCAGTGAGCCCTTATAGAGGGTATCATTAACCGTAAAAATTAGGTAAAAACGCACCTGTAAATAACACATTTTCAATATCAAACGAGTGAAATGTATGTTAACATGTGCGCGATATTTCATCTCTGAAACAACTTAATTTCCAAAAGGTAAAAAAAAAAACTTCATTGAACCAAATATGTAACATGTAAATCACTGAATTTCAAAAGTGGATCGTGTTATAACCGTGGCTTTTAATGGTTTATCGATACAGTGGTCTATTCAGGGTGTTCACGGATATAAACATAAGTGTGCTCCTTATTTGGGTGGGACATTAATTTAGTGGACAATCACTGGTATTGCTCAGATTTTCAAGGTGGGGTGGCCTACACTTCAATAGACAGCAGTCATCTTTACAACTCTTCAAACCAGGCTGGGCACGCTGCTATAGAGGACAGTCTCTGTTATAACTGTGATTCTTATGAACGGGTATATATTGATACCGATCAACGCCATGGGATTTAAAGTACTCAATACCGACTCCTCAGGCGTACGTCCCGTTTCTGTGTCAAACCTTCGGTCAGGGGCATTTCGGCATAACTTTTGTGAACTTTTTAAGACCTTCACGCACTTCCAGCCCTCCAGGGTGACAACGTGCACGCTAAGAAACCATAGAACATCTTGTCCACCTTCCGAATGTGTTGTTCCACCTATAAAACATCCCCTTTTGGCGAACACCATACCTGTTCATGGCAGTTTCTGTCAACTCTAAAAGCCACCCTAATCATTTTCTCGAGCATTTTTGGAACAAACTATCATTTTCTTATTTATGTCATTATAAGTATTCCTAACACGCAGATTTACTTGTCTCACTTACAGGAGTGTGCATGTACTTATGTGGTAAACAATTATTATTGTGCTTTCTTTTAAAATATGATTCTGTCAGAGCTGTAAATAATGAGCTAAATGTCTAACAAACAAGTGCGAGTTTCTAGTCATACGAAAGTGCATTGAGCGTACTCCTCGTTTTTTCCTATGATTCCCTCTATAAGTGCCCCGGTTTCATCCTTTTGGAATTACGTCGGAGTAATAAGGTTATTGTTTTCTAGCAGTTGCGAACAGAACAGGGGATTGTGAGCTACCAAACACGTGTACTTCGAGTGATTCTTTAAATAGTTTATGAAAAAAGAAGAGATCTGGTTTTCGGTGCTAACCCCCTCTCAATAATAGCCGTACTTGTTAGACCTTGTTACCACTTCACAGGTGAGTGATCACACTCACTTCATGATACCACGGAGGCGCCCTGGCAAATTCATTGGTACATTCTCAGGTGATTGAGATAAATAAATTGCCCCTTTTGAAAAATAGTGCACCTGCAATTGAAAATAAAAAACGAAAAAGGTCACCAAAATTGAGTTTATTCTCATTATCAAAAAAAAAAAAGAAAAGAAAAAACGGTTGAAGTATAATTGAACGTGCTGAGTAATATAACCAACTTCAACTGATCTTGTTAACATTTATTTACTTACTTAAGATGCAATGTTAGGGATTGCCAGGCTTTGGCCGTTGCCCGGCCATTTTTGGCAGCCTGTCCATCATCTGGTTCGATTATCACAGCTCGGGGCTCTTTCTCCCACTCTCCCAGATATCCTAGCACTGATATCCACTTTGAATGTTATCAAACCCAGAGACAATCGATAAGGTGTTCAGTGCCGGTTCAGACCCCCACCGGAGTTTGTTCTGTCTCGCAAGACGAACACGGGGCGGGTGTTTGACGCCTCGCCCAGAGCCAGTGCAAACACGGAACACCGGGGAATGTGGGGGATAATAGGAAAAACTGACATCCTATAGTAGCTAAAACGTTTGGTAACGTTAGTTTGCAAATTAAATACGCAGTTTGCTCTGCGGCGGTTCAAATGCGTTATATGGTGAAATATTTTAACTATTAAGAGCAGTTGGGGGGAATGGGATTACTCATCCCAGTGCACGTGTCCTTGGTTCGCGACATAATTCCATGTGAAATTGATTTTTGGTTGATGATAGAGAGTCTGTGAAGCTATTCCGTGAAAAAGAGAGAGAGAGAGAGAGAGAGAGAGAGAGAGAGGGGGAGAGAGAGAGGGGGGAGAGGGAAAGAAGTGGACAGAAGCGTATTGATATGGTAATGTTCTGAAACCGGTGATAACCTTAAAATCTATCACCCTTAAACGGTTGACTTCAAACTTTCTTTCTTTTGTATTGATATGCATCTCACGTATCTTCCAAGAACAAGAGATCATTCGTGTAGAAAGTAACTGTTTAAATGCAAAGTTCTACACCAGAACCTTCTGTGTGCACACCACAAGAGGTATTAAGATATTTGTACTTCAAACGTTTTGGCGTTAAACAACGAGGTGCAATTTACTAATAAAGGCACATTTCTATGAGCGTTTGTTCCTTCTGCTGCGTTTCTGTAGCCCCCCCCCCTTCACATACTAGTATACACACACTCCCCCCTCTTATCTGTTGTTCTTTTTCTTTTTCTATTTCTTGCAAACAAAAAACTATCCGAAAGGTAGGACACGCAAGTGCACTTTTTATTATCAAAGGTCCTTATACATTTATCATCGCGAAAAATATGTGGGCACTGTTACAGATCACTGCCACCACACACATACTCACACATAGCAAAATAATATTTATTCTAAGCAACCGCAAGATCCTCACCCTTGACTATCAACATGGGTCTTGCCTGCGTACTGTTTTTCTAACCCAACAACACCGTCAAAGCCAGGCCACGGTCTGTATGCAACAGATACCTGCCATACAAATTTATTCGGTCTCATAACATTTCATTTCTATTGTGTTTAGTCGAGTAATGACAATAGGAGGAATAATAAACACGTTCCGCTGTGCGGTTGAGGTCTTTGTTTGCTGACTAGCCCATCAAACGTCCCAGCATCGCTGCCGTGAGCGGTGAATACCTGCACTCGTCCCGGCTCGCGGACAAGGTTCGTAAAGACCGGTTGGGGTTAAGGTACACAGGTGTTAAAACAAAGGACACGCATAATTTAGCGAGTCTAACCGTCCTATTGACCTATAAACCGTCTGCGGTGATCCCTGCAAGTTTGAGGGGCTAAACATTCCTATTCATTAGCCGCGATATCGGAGAAGTTGTCTTCTCTCTCTCTTTCTTTCTCTCTCTCTTTCTCTTTCTCTTGCTCATCAAAAGTCAATGTTAGCATAAATTTATTAACGGCATTAATTAACATCTCTAAAAAACTTTAAATCTGGTATTTTAAGATAGATGAAGGCAAGACCATTTCTGAGCTAATAATCTTTACGAGAATAAATGTAATAAAAAACATCGAAATCAACGAAAAAAAACAACAGCATTCAATGGCATGCTACAGCCCATCTCTCTCTCTCTCTCTCTGCGCGCACAATGCACGTGTATCTTTGTATTTAATCTGTGCACGCGTTAAACGAGGTATTTGCACATGTGACTGTGTGAGAGCCAACGTGCATGTGTGCGCGTGCATACTTGTCATGACTACCATGATTTCTGGTTTTGTAACCAGTCTGTAATGGAA